CCCTTCCATAACCATTGATAATGCTCTTCAAAAACTACAATCCGGATTGAATTCCCCAATATTTCATTAAACATATGAAATGCTTTTTTTCCGTTTCTTCATTTTTCGCTCTCACAGAAATTCCTTTAAAATAATTTGGTTATTTTCTTTATATATATTTTTTGTTGTTCTTGCTTTGTCTTGCCGTTTTCCGGTCTTGTTTTGTGTTGGGTATATTTTTGTTTTGTTTTTACTTTTTTTTATCTTTATTAAGATAAAGGAACAAATACATATAAAAGTAAAAGAAAACGACAGGAGGAGAAAGCGAAAAGAAAAAATATAAATAAATATCATTAGCGAACAAAAGTTGCTATTAAATCATGTAAAAAAATTCTGTGCCGGTTATTTCATTTGTTTGCGTGCACCAGCAACATTTGACTTATTTATGGAACATTTCGGTTATCTCTTTCTCTCCATGAGTTGTTGATTTTTGTCATTTTATCCACCAGCGAAACGAACAAATATATACATAGACGACAAAGATACATAGGAAGCAAGAGAGACAAACAGAAAAATAGAGAGAGAGAGAAACCCAGGCCCAGTGGTCTCATACACAAAAAAAACTTCCTATTAATTTCCATCGCATCTCCTTCGCTTGTGCATTTTTTCCCTTCTCTCGGAATAAGTCTTGGTAGCGATAGCAATGGTAGTAACAGTAGTCGTTTCAAACGGAAAATGTTTGCTGTGACTTTTCTTTCGGTCGGGCTATATGTTCATTTTTTTTTGTTTTACAATGTGATTGTGATGTATAAACATTACATATAACTTTATCTAACGACATTTAAGAGCTAGATTTCGCTGCTTGTTTTTGTTATTACTTTTATTTTATTTTGAGAATCTCGATTTTCTTGCTTTTTATAAATAGACATTTTTTCCCAAAATATTTCATTTTTATTTATCGTCGTTCCAAGAGAAAGAGATATATAAAACTTTGGCCCTTTTCATCATCGTTAATATGGGTGTTCATGTATTTCAGTGGGAGTATATCAAATGCGAATCTTCGGCTATGAAAAAACGGCAAAATTTTAAAGTAGAAATCAGCTTAAGATGACTAACAACGCATAGAGCATTTTTTCGGTCAACAAGCATCCGTCAAAAGAAAGAAAAACGTTCACCGTAATTTAACGTAATAAAATTTCACACAAGAAATGAAGAAAGAAAAATAAATGAAATCAGATGAAACAAACGGATACTAAACATATGATAAATTGAGTCGCTGAGAACCAAAAGTTCCATGAAAATAGTTGGCAAAAAATGCGATCGCCTTGCTTGGTATGGAATTGTCAGAACTGAAAATATGACAAAAGTCAACATGAAACAGAAATATGTATTGCGCAGTTTTCGCTCTGAATTATTTTGTGAAATGATTGTGGCTTCTCAAAGACGCAATTGCAGAGAATACTTTTGTTAAAATTGTTTGTAGCTTTTGTCATCAATCTGAACGATAAAAAAAAACAATGCAAAGGCGTTATCATGAGCGATGAACAAAGTCTCGACGCATAAGAAGAATGTGTGAAAAACATTCTTTTCAAAATTACTGATAGATTCGATTTCAAATATTTGTGCGAAATAAAATATTCGCTTTGTACTTTGTTCACTTTTTTAGGTCTAACCAGAGCTGTCATATTGGCACCTCAAAAGTACGGGCATTAATGAGCGTCCACACTTAATCCATATAACCTTTTAGTTTCTGCACATGAAAAAGCGGCACTTACAAAAAAAATGCCCGCACCTACGCGATGCCCACAACAGCTGTGCCTGCAACGATTTTCTGTACAACTTAATTCAGGTTAATTGAACATATTGTGGCACAACCTAACATGTCAATTTGTGTGTTGCCAAAATCGTTGATGTTTTTGAATTAAATTGATTTACAATGATGGTTTTGATTGACCCTTTTTCGAATTGAAGTTATAAACTTAAATGCGAATTTCAATCATACAAACTTGTTATGTTGCTCAAACATGCCAGAAAAAAACGAAAATTCAACCAAACAATTCTGTATGAATGAACATTTTTGGTCGAAGTGAAAAAGACAGCTTGGGTACAGTTCGATTTCTACTTCACATAAATAGTTCATTGTGTAAATGAACTGACTTGAAAATTCATTCGAAAAGACAACTGAACTATGGAAAATATCTGATAAATTACGATGACTTTGTTTGAGTTTGTCATAGCTGTGTGCCAAATAAACAGCAGAAAATTTTTGTGCGTCGTCATGACGTGGTGATACAAACGGTAAACATACAGTCGAAGAGAAACGCACTTTACCTATATATTCTTTTATCATTTCTTGCTGTTTGCTCTCCACAGCAGCGACTTAATTTTTATTTTCTGCATCGCTTCCATTCTCCACTCTTTCTCTCCCTCTCTCTCTCTCTCTCTCTCTCTCTCTCTCTCTTTCTCCCAGAATTCGTACGCCGCAATAATCGTTTATATAGCATATACATGCTATCGACGCACGTAATACACTTATTTATGTTCATTGAATTGTGGTTGATTCGCTTATCTGCAAATTAAATTGAATCACAATGAAGAAGACCCTTTCGACACTCGGCAATTATTTGCACAAAAAAAGTTTTTATCTATGTTATATTGAATACCGTTGAATACCATATTTATGCCAATAATTATTATCAACAAAATTTCATTAAAAAAAATGTGCATTTAATTTTTGTAAATTAATAGGAAGATAGTGTGTTGTGTTTCGTTGAATGCATTCTTTTTAATAAATATCTTTTACTTGAAAGATAAATAAACCAAAAAAGAAATCACACGACCATGCTTAAATCGTGCTTTAAGCATTACACAACAAGAAAAGATTGTCACACACACTTATATTTCGACAGTTTGGTTTTTTGCTCTCTTGCCGCTATCGAAATTTATCTTAATTTATTGCTAATAAAATTTTATGCAAGGGCGTGAAAATGAGCAAATTATTAAAGCATTCTTACCAGATGAATTAAAAATTGCGAAGAAAACCGGAAAACCGTACATGGTGCAAGCAACAAGTTTAAATAGCGAAGCATACTGGTGTACACATGTGTGTGTGAGAGAGAGAAAGGGTCAGTTTTTTAGTTCATTTTAAAAGATGATTGAGTTGGTGTTGCCACGAAAAATATTATTAAATTAGTTGATAAGTGATTTTGTCTCAATGACATTTATAGAATAAAACATCTACCATTAATCTGCTTCATCATTCTTTGAATTTTATTCTATTGCGTAACGTTGTGCGCCACTTTTACCATAAGCACCATTTACAGCCATTATTGAATGTGAAGCTAAAATGCTAGTTATTATTTATCATGAGCTCTTTAATTTTACAACTGCACCTGACGAAATTACCTGAATAGCTCATAAATAGATAAAGCGTTTTCCAATTCGAATCCAAGTTCAAGTCAAGTGTTATTAATTTTCAAAATCGGTTGTTCCCATTTCATTGCACTGGCATTGATAAGTTAAATCTGATGCAGTACAAATTCACGTCAAATTGCCATATGGCTTCACAAAATCGCAATCATCATTATGCATTGTCCGAAGTTATGTCTGCAACAGTTTCGCATGATTGGCTTCCATTACTAACCATATCATTAAGTATTAACAGTTCATCGTTCAAAATGTGTTCAATTCAAAAGGTGTTTGAAATTTAATTGCATACTTAAGCTAAAGTTGTGAATGATTGTTCAAATACTGTATGCGGTAAATATATCTAATGCTTCTAATGGTTTTTCCATAAAGCTTCTCTAATGGTTTTTCCATAAAGCTTAAATCCAGTCCATCATCTATTTTCATTTACATGAAAGAACACATTTTCTATAAGGTGTTTCACTTTTAAAGAAACTTAAAATATCAAAGCGGCTGAATCAATATATTATATAAATTTTCCATCCAAATATCAATTTTTCGTATTATAAAAAGCTATATAAAAAAATTCTATTTATCTCGATTTGGAAGCAGCTTTTTACAAGAAGAATATGAATCTAATTGCTTACAACATTTTCACTAGATTCATTCCTATTTAGATAAATAAATTGGAAAATATTCATCAATTACATCAATTCGTTTTTATAAATACCGCTTATTAACAGCTTGTGCATGTTACATGTGAGTATGTAATGTTCACGTATAAAATTCAATTAAATACAACAAATTGTTTCATGACGAACGCTTATAATATGCATTTATAGATAGAAGAATAGACCACACAGAGAAAAAGCAATCGGTAAATATTTACTGACTGCGTTAAGTTCCATGGGAGAATATTGTGTTGATTTTCAGAACAAAATGCCACAAACATTTCTCTTGTATTTTACCACAGCTAACGAAAATTTTACCACACGCGCTATAAACGTCAAATCGCCATGCTCACTAATTGCTTGTAACTTGTTCACTTTCACTGTGGCCTGTATTTTGTACTGTATTAATAGTCAAAATGTCGCATAAAATATTATTCAATCCACAAAAAAAAACAGTTGAACAATTAAATCCTGAAGAAGAAATTTTCCTATTTTTTCAATTTTAATTTTGATTTGGAATACGTTTCATTGTTTTTAAAATAAAAAATATACATTTTTTTAATTTAAAAGAGAAATAAAAACTATAAAAATAAAGCAAAATGAATTGGGGTTGGTTTGTGATTTGAAGTTTATAGCGTGTGGTAAAATTTTCATTAGCTGTGGTAAAATAGAAGAGAAATGTTTGTGGCAATTTTGTTCTGAAAATCAACACAATATTCGCCCATGGAACTTAACTCAGTCAGTAAATATTTACCAATTTCTTTTTTTCTGTGCAAAATGGAATTTTTTTTTAACTTCAGACGATTCAATGGTATTCTCGTCCGCACTAAACTTGATAAAAATGGCTATTTTTGAAGAAAATCGCTCTGGTATAAATTTTTCGCTTTGTTGAGAGCAAATAAAGAAAGAAATATTCAAAGAATATTCATCTGAGACATATTACAATAACTATATTCACAAGTTTTTCTATGTGTTTATTTGCACGAAATCGAAGATAAATACAATGTTTTACAATATTTCTGGCTAATAAAATGGTTACAGAAAAATATCCAATCTCCAAACGAATTCTACATGATGTTGCAAGATGAATCCTTCTGCAATAGTTTTCGATTTCCACCAAGAGTTTTTCTGATTCCAACCAGAAATTCTGTCCATTCCATGCGTTTCACATTGTATTCGTCAAGAATTTTAAGTGTACTTTGATAGCGATTGATCAGCTTGTCTTGTTTCAAGTATATTTGCTCTATGAAGTTAACTGCTTGTTCAACTTTAAGCTTAAGCACTGTTTGACAAACGTTCAATTCTCCGCCCATACACGCATTAAGTTTAACGAGTATTTTTTTCATTTGGGCTGAAATTTGATCCATTTCAAATATTTCATTGTCGAATCTTTTGCGCAATTCACCGTGCTGTGTTGTGACTGTTATTATACTATTTTCAATTTCTTTTAAATGTGCTACGCCAATCGGTCGTTTATACCATCTTTTAAACGAACAAAATGCATTTAAATCCTTTGGATCGGGTTGAAAGGACATTTTCTCAATAATAACGTTCGTTAGTCTAACAACCGACATGAGCTGTTGAACATTAACTAAATCGATCACACGAAGCAGTTTTTGACGACCGTTTACATTGCCATTAGCTAATGAAATCATCAAGTCCTCCGGAATGTGATTTTCCACATTTTCGACAGTATTGCTACCTATAATTTCCTTTAAAGACGATTCCAATTTCTTTTTTAGTACATCGACTTTATTGGAAATCCTAAGAATACAATCGAAACTTGACCGGATTTCAACTTTACCTTCACCTTCAGTATACAATTTATTCAATATTGTAGCAAATGTCATTTCTTGTCCTTTGATTACCTGAATAAATAAAAGATACAATTACGTATTCAGAAATTTATTCGATATTTGCAAAAAATACTATAATACCTGAACAGAAATTGCAAATGATAAAAGCGATAAGAAGAAAAACGACTTCATACTTCTTTTTTGTTTTCACAATTATAATTTTATCAGCACAAAAAAAGTAATGAGAGAGTAGCAATTATTGGACCCTTCATATATACTAATTTTGCCAGTTGTTGATTCATTTTACATTCATCTGGAATTTATAATAATAATATTGTTTTTGGTGGTTCTTTCAATCGAATTTTTTGGAAAATATTGAAGACTTCAATTTGAAGTAAGAAAAAAAGTAATTTTTCTACGTCAATATAATGTTATATCTAGGTTGTATAAATATCATTGTTTAATTACTAAGAAAAAAAAGATAAACAGAAATTAGAGTGTATGTGAGCAGATAAAGAAAACCGAACACATGTCGATTTATTTCCTGAATCGAATCATTTGAATATTCACATACATAGGGGAGGACGGGGCGAATCGCCGCACTTTTTTTTTGAGCC